TTGCAATATTAATCGATTCCAATATTCAATCTTTGTTTTATGTCTATCATCGATTAGAGAATTGTTCTTTTCTTTTTCGTTCTAGAAGAAAGTATGGCATCGTCGCTCACCAAGACAACAAATGTAACAGATTTCAATCTACCAATTGAAAAAATAAAAGATTATACAAAAATTGATTTGGAAATATTTTCAAAAAGTCCAGCATGGTCTGATGAATATTTATCAGAATTAAATCTTCCACGTCGACCATTTGACTTTCAAATTGAACTTGTTCAATCAGTTATTCAAAGTGGAAATTCCATAATTAGTTTACGAACAGGTGCAGGAAAAACATATATAGCTGCTCTTTTAATAAAATATTATTATATGAAAAAACGAAAAGAAAATCAAAATGAATTTTTATCATTTTTTTTTATTCCTCATCGTTCAATTCGAGATCAACAAGTTAAAGCTATACGTGATGTAGGTGATCTTCGTGTTATTGCTTGTGATGATGATTCATATGTTTATGAATTTATTCATTTTAATCATGTTATTGTTTGTACACCACAAAAATTTTTAAATTCTTTAATTGAAAAAACAATTCATTTGAACCATATTGATTTAATTATATTTGATGAATGTCATAATTGTATTGGAAATCATCCTTATTCAAAAATAATGGAACAATATTTTATTTATCATCAGTCAGGATATAAACCAAAAATAATTGGTCTTACTGCTTCATGTGGAACGAAATTAACAAATCCAGCAGCAATAATTGAAGAATTAAGAGATGAAAAGAAGAGAAAATATAATGCTCTTCATAAATTATATGAATTATCTGCAACACTTAATTGTAATGATGTTGTTAGTGTTAATAGAGCAGAAAATTTAGATGAATTAAATAAAAAAATTCCTAAACCAACAGAGGACAAAATTCTTGACTTTTTTTCAGAACCATTCGGTCAATATCGAAAACAATTAGAAGAAAAATTTAGAGATATATTATAATATATTGGATGTCGATGTTCTCCAGTTGTTCTTCCATTGACTGATGAACAAAAATTAATAGAAGAGAAGATAATTGCAGAAGAAAAAATTCAATTCGAAAATATTATTTTAATAAAATATATGATTATGCTGGTTAAAAGATTTGATGCATTAAAAGATTTACCATTAAAATCGATTATGACTGATATTATCAAGAAATTGGATCTATTTTACAAGTAATTCTTATTTGTTTTTTATCGACTTTTTCTTAAATTTAATTTCTTTAGTAAAAAAGAAAAACCATTAGAAATCGAAACTCATATTCATGAGTTTACCCTTCACGAAGTTCATATAATTATCGAACAAATAAAACAAACAGAATATTATTTAACAAATCCAAAACTCGATTATTTAACTGATGTAATACAAAGACTTATTCAAGAAAGAGAAAATGCAAGAGGTTATACTTTTTATTTGATTTAAAAGAAACAAACAAATAAGACACTTTTTTTTGAAGGATTGATATTAGTAGCGCGTACACTTCATGCTAAACTTCTGTTTGATTATTTAAAAGAACGGCAAGATATTCAAGTAAATTATTTAAATAACGAAACAAAGAAAAAAATGTATTGCTTTTCAACAGAACATTATAAAACCGTGTTGGCTTGTCGGTCAAAGTGGTGTTGATTATCAAAATAGTCTTTCAGAACAAGATAATACATTAAAAGATTTTCGAAAAGGTTTAGTATTTAATTATTTTAATATTGATTAAGATTTAAATAGAAAAACAAATCCTTTTATAGGTTTATCCAATATTATGATTGCAACTGATATTGTACAAGAAGGTTTGGATGTACCTGAATGTTCTTTTATTATTCGTTATGAATTTGTTTCAAATGAAATTGGCACTGTTCAATCAAGAGGAAGAGCAAGAGCTGATAAAAGTTCTTGCTTTTTAATTGTTGATTCAGGTTATATATTTTTTCCTATTCGATAGAAAAACGGTTCTATTAATATAACACCGATTTAGGTTCTAAAAATTATGAAAAAGAAATGGAAAATCGTTTGAAAGAAAAAGAAATGGCAGAAGCACTTGAACAATGGAAACAAGTACCATCTGATAAATTAGTATCAAACACCCAAGCCATTCAGGTTTAAATATGTTTCATGCTTCATGTTTTGTAAAACACAATCTGAAAGGAATGTTAAAGTGTGTAGAGTGAAAATTTTCAAACCGAGACAGTGAAACTATTTGTTCGGAAGATATAGATAAATAGTTGTCGATTAGTGTTTTTAGTAATAATAAGAGGCCCGTCATGCATCACATTTTTCAATCTTGCTAGAAATTATACTAAGAGTTTTTCTTTCTATATTTTATACAAAAAGGACGTTCTTTCCTGGACTAATTTCAGGAACGTTTTAGTAGAAAAAATGTGACACATCTTCTGTTTGTTTATTCTGAAAATAGATTCTTAATTTGGATAGAAATACGAATGAGTAATGTGTCAAACTTTAATTATAAATAATTATATTTCAAATACGACTACGTAGTTTATCTTCATTTGTCAATAGAAAAAATTTTAGCAATAAAAGTTGTCTTGCTGAACCTTCTGAGTTTTTTTTTGTAAAAAACTAGAATAATTATAAGAAATAGTATAATGAATACCCAATATTAATCGACTAGATTTTAGTTATTATAATCCGGTTAAATGTATAGATTAAAAAAGAAAGTTAAGAAATAATTGCATATGTAATTGACGTCTATTCAACAGGAGAGATTTCTATTCTCTGTCAGAATTAGTCTTGTTAGAATGAAAATAACGAATATCTTTTCATTGCTGGAATTTCGATAAATATTCATTATCGTTTTTCTTTCTGATATGAAGAATGAAATTGTTAGTGCATGGCGTCAAGAAGCAGCCTATCGAAATTGGAAGCTTGAGAATTTGTCAGATCCAGAAACAATCAATGGAAAAGTTTCATGTCGTTCTTGTGATTATTATTTGGGTGAAATTTCATAGATAAGAAAACGAAATCAAAATTACTTTGTTCGAAAACAACAATTTATGGAAAGAATAGAGATCGAACGATTTTCTATGGAAAAAATTATCAAAGAGATACAATTGAATGGTATTTTATATATTAAGCTTAATAATTTTTTTTTTGTGATTTTTTTTTGTTTTATTTAAGGAAAAGTTCGATGTGGAAATAAACAATGTCGTGAAGAACTAGGTGGATTACAGTTATTTACAGATCGACCAGATGTGAAAGAAATGTGTGCACTTAAATGTAAACAATTAAAATTTTCTTACAGAAATGAAGATGAAGAACTACGAATCGTTATGTTTAAGAAGTGGACCGATGTTAACTTTAAAATACTCGATTTAGAACCAATCAACTGCAATATTGCATTAAATAATCAATAGTAGATATTTATTTTTTTCAAAAACTTAATTTCTTGAAACTTCATAAGAAAGTTCTATTTTGCATAAACAAGAATATCATATCAAGAATTTTTATCTTCTAGAGTAATAATAAATGTATACATATATCCTTTGGGATAATTTGAAATAGTCTTGATATTTATTTAAAGACTGTGCTTTATCCATCAAAATAATAAGAGAAAATTGTTTTATTCAAACTTTGGATATGATACAACATAAAATACTCAAGTCGAATAATCCGGCTCCTGAACCTCGTTGAAACCTATCAAAAATCTGCTTAATCCGACAAATTTCGGCAGAAATCTTGAGAATGTGTATGTAGATTTCTCTTTCCTTACACCCATACCCACCCACACCCTAGTTTTCACGCACACTGTACACATGTATTCTCTACCAAATAATATAATGGACTGCCCAGTGAAAAAAAAGTCAGATTAAACATGATTTGGTGAGATTATCATCGGATTTTTCTGCGACAAAATCCAAATTATAATCGATTGAAATTTTCCAAATCACAAATAATCTGATTTGTAATCAAAAATAATTCTTCGAAATCGAGAATACTTTAGATTTTACTCAAATTATATTGGATTTTAATCAAAATTTTAATTGATTTTGAGGATTATCTCGGATTAAAAAAAGTTTTCGAAATCAGTTAAAACTTTGATTAAAATCCAATATAATTTGAGTAAAATCTAAAGTATTCTCGATTTCGAAGAATTACTTTTGATTAAAAATCAGATTATTTGTGATTTGGAAAATTTCAATCGATTATACTTTGGATTTTGTTGCAGAAAAATCCGATGATAATCTCACAAAATCATGTATAATCTGACTTTTTTTCACTGGGTATCCGAGAAGTGATTAAATTTGATACTTATATGTAATCAAAAAGGAATAATACTATTGGTATTTCATACAGATTATTGAGCTAGCACAAGAGATAGAAATTTTCGATGGATGCGATTACTGTTTCACAACTTAATTTATTCACCCTAAAGAACAAATGCATTTGTCAATCACATAAAATTAATTATTTAATTTCAATTTCATACGATTATTGGTTCTAATATATTTAATTATTGTAAGAAAAGCATACATGTTGTTCATTATGTATCGAATTTATTAGCATTTGTAACAAGAACATGTTACTGACAATTATAATGCCATAACTTCAAGTAGAACTTATTATTAACAACTTTTATGAAGTACTTATCTGTAAGTTCTATTGAGTCAATTAGATTTTGTAATTTTTTAATCCACATCCCATCTACTCCAAAAACGCATAATGAAAATGAATGATGAATACTTTCATTTCTTTGCAACAATAAATATTTAACGGTTGCTTTGAGAGATTGTATAAATGTATCAAATGAAATGTATTCCAATCGATGACAAAAATTAATTAATATTTTCATCATTTTTAATATATAATAATTTTTAAGAATAAGATTTTTTATTTTATTTTGATTTGATACTAGCTGAAACGTTTCATTTTCCTCCAATGATAATTGCTCTCTTGACTCTTTTCTTGCTAACGTTAACGTCAATGTATGAATATTCGGTGTGAATTGTAAGATATCAACTACCACGCTTAAATCTATAGAACCAGTCCCAATATTTAGATTAGTAAGTCGTATTAATGGGATACTCCATTTAATATTAGGGCGCGGGTGTGGGTGTGAATATGGGTATTATTCTGAGTCACACCCACATCCATAATTTATTTCTTTATATTTTTTACAACCGAATTGAGATATCGTTTTTTTTTTCTTTCCTCAAATGAAAAACTGTAACTCTTTTTATAAAATTTTCATTCTTAAGGAAGCGAAAAATTTAAATCAAGTATAGTTTAATAAGTTTAAATTTGAAACGATACTTAGATGAAAACACGATATAACAATAATGTTTTCCCTTATTAAAATGTTTTATCCTTAATCAAATGTTTTTTTTATGTATGCAAAAAGAAGCAAATCACCTTTGAAACAACAGTATGTGCAAGCTGAATAACTGTTAAAATTCGTGGTGCAACAAAATAAAGCCTTTGCTGGAAGATCCGACACAAAAAACTGAGTACTAATTTGAATTTGATATTCCTTATCTTCGATGAAAATTGAAGTTGCATTGTGAATCAACGATGAAAGATCATCCACAGTTTCTGCTAGAAAGATATTAACGTCAGGTTTCTTTTTCGAAAGCCACAGAGCTAAAATAATTATGTTGGATTGGAATTCTCTTAATGGAGGAGGAATTTCGACTATGGATCCAAAGCAAGGCCACATACATTTTTTAGACGATCGAACTATCGGGGCACCATCAGAATGAACAATCAGACTAATTTTATTACCAGACACCGCCGACATATTTTGGTATCTTTCACCTTAACAAACATCACTATTCGGAAATAAACATGGTTTATTTATGAAATAAGCATTTCTGTTGATAATGGATTGAATTTGTGATCTAATATCAAATCGAACTATCTCAATAACTTCTGTTGCTTGACGTTGTCGAAATGAAGTGGAGCAATTTTGATCGGCACACATTTTGTAACGTACTTCAGGCGTGTGGCATGATTGATAACAATCACTACGAAGCCAACTAGTGGACGTTGATGAAACATGTTTCAATGCTTTTGTCATACGTGTCAATGTCTTCGGCAATAGATTTGGTTTTGGAAGTAAACCTTTAATTAAATGAAGTAATTTGTTTACTTTATCTTTATCTAAATTTAGACTTAAATAGAAATTAGAGATTCGATGAATAGCATCCGTGATACTAATAGGAGAACCATGAAACAATGGAAGTGTGTCGTTTTCATATTCATCTTCACTAGTCCAATAGACATTATCGTCGTTCTTATTAACAGACTCTGAATACAACAAACCCCCATTATTGATTATCCTAGAGCAATCTTCTACATTTATTTGTTGTTGTTGATCACATGTTACTGGAAATTGTTCACCATAATCATCAATGCAGCTTGCATCAGAAGAATTTTCTCCAACGATTACTTGACGAACAGTTTGACGTTTGATCTGTCGAACGCGACGACGTTTATTTACTCTACGAGGAAAACGATACATTCAATCTTAAAATCAGAATTGAGACCTTTAGAATTAGAGATAAAACTTTATCATGATGATAAAATGATCGTAAGTATGCAGTACTAATTCATTCAATCATGCGAATTTCAATAAATCAAATTTTTAACGTTTCAAAAGATTTAAATCGATATGATAGAATGTAAGGGAAAGCATTTTATTGGAAGATAAAATTCTAGCGATTGTAGCGACGTTTTAGGCGTTATTGTGACGCAGTAACTGTTTTATTATATTACGGTACTTAGCACCATGATATCGCAAGATAACACAGTGACATGACGTTTTGGTGTTATAACGCCGTTAGTGTAAAAAAAACAACAACATGGGCAATGATTTGTCGAAAATTCTAAAGCAAAAGATAATTAGAAATAATTTCTAATTAAAACAAAATGGGTACGTGTGTTCATTTCTAAAGTATACTAACATCGCCCATGACATTTCCCTGATTGCCCAACATGCATTTACATATTCATATATCGTTGATCTAATCAGATAAAATCTAAATTCTCTACCAAGATATTGCATTGTAAACTTTGTAAGAGTAACAGATTTATCTAATCAAGATTCTAAATCAACCTAAAGACGTATGAAATTTATAAATGAAAATAAATAAATAAATTTTATTTTTCAATTAACAAACTTAAAACTTTAGTGTTTGAAGTGTTCGTGTAATTTTGTTCACGATGAATGTCATATGTTGTAGTTTGTTTCATTTGTATTCAACAAAGATTTTCGATTCGATCAATCGCTTTTTTTCCCCATCGAGGATCATTACAACGCCTAATAAATAAATGAAATATTTATCGTATGAAACTCTCGTATATTTTCGAAGAAAATAGTAAGTGAAAGTTTTATATTCAAATTTTCGCAGCTTCTTTTGTCTATTACAAACAGATAGTCATTCATATTACCATTATTGACCGCTACAATTTAGTAGAAAAGTCTGAAGTGTTTTCAAGTTTTTGTATAAACTTTGATACCTAAAAATCGTTCATTGACTTTCAATATCTAGAATTTTGATTTAGCTGCATGCAACAGTTCAACTTTAACCATTTAATAACAATCAGAGACAAGAGATCGGGTGCGGGTGTGGGTGTGAGTGTGGGTGTGAGTGTGGGTGTGGGGTGTGAGGGTGTGGGTGTGGGTGGGTGTGGGTGTGGG